ACATACGTGCAGTCCGAGAAGAAACACGGAAACCTAGTGAAGGCGTAAGAAAAATAAAAACTATATTAGAATACAAGTGTTACCAACTCAAATGGAATCAAAAAGACTAACAAAAATGTACAGCTAAAGGAATCAGTAGGAACAAATTTCAAGCATATACATGGAGGGATTCACACATACAAAAAATTCAAAATGGATCTTACATATTGTCTTGATTACAAACTTTGGATATTTATGAACAATTTTTATTTAGAACGAAAAAAAATAAACAACTACTGTCAGGGTTCAACCATGATAATAAGAGTGTAATGAATATCGACCTCCGTATTGAACCATTTAAAATTTCTTTTAATTTTTTAGTTCATTTGGTTAAATACACGTTAAGTTATGCAATAAGATACAGAGTGAAACTAGATATTTGCGTTAACTTTTGTGCAATAATAATTTGGAATGATGTTATGAAAGTCACAATTAATTGCAAAGGATAACCAATTATCGATTTCTACGTGTCATACATATGTGGTAAAGAAAAAATGAATCGAAGACATTAATTTATTTAAGTGTAACATAAGATAACTTGTTTTTAGTTATAGACTTTTGATGTTTAAGAATATAACATGTATGGGAGGAAAAGAAGGGACAAAAAGAGGATCTCATGTGCTAAACGACAAATCATGATAATAATAACAATAATAATAATATCTATTATCACTTTTCGAAATATCGAAATTAGCAGAGAGTGAATGAAACTTTTATATTACAACAGGAACATTGAGAGTGTCAAATATTTGGATCTAACTTTAGCAAAACTAGAACGCTCAATGTAAAAGTTAGCACGCTTTGTGGAAGCTGAACTGCAGCGAACAGCCCGTGACCGAGAATTGATGCAAGTAGAGTTTAAAGCTTTTCATGAAAAAAATGATGTGCAAATCAATAATCAGTCAGTCAAAAAAGTCAACTTCAACGTATTACCTTGTACTTATTGGTGGCTTCAGCCCGATAGCAAGTTTAACAGGCTCGTGATGAAAACACAAATCTTTTCGAGACATATGTGTTTATCAGGGTGTAGGATCATACGTTCCATACATATGTCTTCGGTAGGGTGTCACAAGAGTGCAAAAAAGGGAAAAAGACGAGAAGCTGGAGAAAAAAATGTGCATGATTGGCTAAGTCATTTGTGATAATAAAATTTAGGCTTATATCTCTTGTCAGGTCAAATGTCATACTGGTATATCAAGATAGGTTGAAGAAAATTATTATTACCACGGTAACGAATGAGCAATATTTCAAAGAACTGTAAAGCTTGAGAATGTGTGGACCCCAGATATACGGTAAGGGGAATACAGAGTTTAGATTTATTCATATTATTTATCATTACGTGTTTTTAATATCATTGACTTTATAAACTAATTCACCGTGTCAGCGAAAGGCAAGGAAATCTGATTACGAATCGCTACCATCAAGGTCCCAAATGCATCCTAATCATAAAGGTTGTAAGGTTAGGTTTGATTTCAAGAGGACCCCTGACCTTATAAATATGCTGCAATTGATGGAATCTCTCGATTCTCTCAACATTCAGGACCCAGAAGAAAGTGTCTGCGATATGGATGATGTTTTCTCTTCCAAAATTATTGGTTGGAATCTGACCGTAAACAGCTGTGCTAATAATGATTCAGGTAGTGTAAAAAAGATTTCCGTCAGTGAAGCTGCGCAGCAGCCACCAGACAAAACAGTTGCAACAATTATTTAACCGATTCTGCCTTAGACATCGGTACATTCCAACCTTATAAATTGCCGGAAGCATGCTCAGTAACACTTGATTCTCCTAAAACTAAAAAGCATCAGGATAGCTACTTAATATCTCATACATAGACCTGATAGACTTCTTCGGCTGGCTCTCAAGATGTACACTATCCCTCTTGTGGATACCGAGGTCAACTACTCTCTCGCGGTTTATACAGCTTATATACTGGCGACGATAAATGACAACAAAATTCCGAGATCAATCCAATAGACATGTTTTTTCGCACAGATCATGCACGTCTGAAATCATTAGAGGTGATTTTATTCTATCAAACACTGCATAGAATTTAGCTTCAGGGCCAAGATGATGTAGCAATTTAGTTTAAATAATAAAATTTTATGGGTGTGTCCTGCAGGTTTGGAATCTGAAAGCTGTCCGATAACTAATAGTGATAAAGCAGTTACTTCACGCTCCTTAAACATTGCAACAAATGTATACATAACACCAACTTGACAAATCTGACTTCCTAGCTCACTAAAAGCGCACTGTACCAACAAGACACTTACAGAAATATCGGCTACTTGGGCGTATAACTGTTACCCTAATCAATCCAGATGTAAAACATATATAAGTTGAGAATAATGCTTTTTAAATGTTATTGCTGACAAAAATTTAAAATGTAAATAGACGAGCGACAATGGGACTGGGTTCTTAATAGCATTAGCTGGTTAGTCTAAGTGGTCAAACCCAACATAAGTGACATCTCTCGATTGACCTGTGACAAACGTAAAAGCTTAAAGTAGAAGCTTTTACGGTGAAGGCAACACACAAACATAATACGACTATGTATATATACGACTTTGATCATCTGGCACGTCACTATATTTAATATAACACCGAATCATTCTAAAAAAATTATTGTGCCTTATTGCAATTAATAAATAATAAGTTATATGAAAAAACCGTATGTTGTTTATCATGGCGTGTTTTTTTAATACGACGCCCTGTATCAAATCTCAAGAGGGGGGTTTACTAATACTGGTAACTGTATCATTAGTGGCTTGGGGAAATATTTTATAGTCCATTGAGAGTTTGTACAAAATAACACACACGTCACCGTACAATCTAATACCGTAGAGTAAAACAATCGTCTGCATTCATCTTTTACCATTAATCTAATGTTAATCACCCTTCTATAGATCAGACTAGCCAAAACGGAGTCTAAATGTGAATTTAACATCATAAAATATTAGTATCATTTCTAGTGGCTGTAAAAGGACAAATGTCTTAATTTTTCATTTATGTCCAGTTGGTTTACAGCAAGCATAGGTGCATACCATACAGCACATTAGCTACTTCTAAGATCTGCAAGCTAACTTGAAAATCAATATCTCCTTAGCGCACAGCCGATTAGCGTCGCTTCCAAAATCACAAAGACTCTAAGTAAGGTAAAATGTTTAAACCCAAATCCATTTAAATTGAAGAAAATTGTGATCGACGAGATCGTGAAACTGCGCATCGGATAATCTGCGTATGAATGATATAACCCACCATACAAATTTGGCCGTATTTTCAAATATTCGGGGTCAAACTTGATGGCAAAGGTGCTGGATACAACATTGACTAGACACGAGAAGATCATTGCACGTATATAACTAGTTTTGGAAAAATGTTAAACTGCTAGTCAAAGCTATATACGATAGCAAATTTTGATGGTAAACACTGAATTCATTAGAATATTAAAGCCTTTCGGTTTGTCTTTTATTAGGTTTCGTTATTTCGGCACATTCACTTCAGCTCATGGGTTTACACACGATCGCAACGCAGGAACTCATATAACTAGACTAGGCTCCATGTTGAGTGGCGTTTTCGTCAAAATAATACCACAGAGATAGTTAGCTCGTAATTATATCTCATAGTTTGGTTTGTCCTAGTCATTACTTTACATCGATGATACCTGTCCTCAATGAAAACCCTAGCTTTTTAGACTTAATTACGGTTAAGTATCAACTAATTCTTGACTAGCTTCATAAAGCGTGGCCATACAGTCATACAGTAATGCCACACTTGTCATGCGAAATAGCAGACAAGTCAAAATTGGCACCAATACTATCAATACCACTCAGTTAATCAGCAGCCACGTTTTCTCGTGTCCTGATAAATTGATACATTGTTCGGTACAAAGACCAAAATCACTGTATTCAGCAGCACCGTTAATTAATAGCTTTACCTAACAAATGAATATTTTTAACAACTGCCAAACACAGAAATGTGATCTGATGGGGGAAAGTAAGTAAGTTGGGAGCTGTCGTAACTGAAATTCCGAATAAATCAACCAAGCTTTTGTGTGGGGTGAGGAAGCCATATGTAACTCGAGTAGATGTCACAACTAACTTTGACGGATTATATACTTTATTTCAAGAACAACATCAGCCGTCGAAAATAATTTCCCAATTAATTCAAACAATAGAAATATCAGTACAAATCAATTTCACAAATTCAAGGAAACAAGCGAAGCAATTAACAGAAACCAGACTCTTGAATATACAAATCGTTTTTTTCCCTGGCTTGCCACAGTGAATAAACGAGTGTCAAATGAAGTCAACAAACAGGAAGAACCTAATGTCAAAATTTAAATACTAAAGGCAGAAAAACTGATGCAATAAAACAATAGCTAAAATATATTATCTTCCCAGAAAATATTGTTGGACTGTTCATAATATTCTGTAAGAATGATAGGAATGAAAATATTATGTTTACAGCACACAGAAAAGTACACATGAAAATGTGAAAATGTAACACTTGAACTGATTTATATATGCATTACAAAAAAGGTACGCAATCAGTCCGTTTTTGAATCACGTGAAGTGAATCACTAAGAAACTCTAACAAATTTATTTGAACTCTCGATCCATAGATGTTTATTTGGTACTAATAGTTGCTTTTTCTAGAATACAAAGGAATTGCATAAAAGTGAAGAGATAGTTAGGCCAGACAATCGAAAAACCACAGTAAAAAGTCAGAAATTTCCCTCAAGTAACTGCAAATCCATATTTTTGCAATAAAAATCTGGGTCTTTCTCTTATAATCCTTCACCCTAATGTAAAACTGATCACAAACTTAAATCTAATTTTTTAATTCAGAAATGCTTTTTTCATTATTCGAAAACAATAGTTGATGAGTAAATATTTTTTCCGAACGTCGATTGAAAGTCCCTTGAATCAACAACCGTTGAGTGAAATAGAAGCAAGGTTACCAAATGTTGGCGCATAAATGGAATGCCCGAATAAGCTTACGCGCTCTGTGGAGGAATTGGAGGAATTAAGTAGCCTCATCAAGAGGAATAAATCGGACGATGTAAACTCGCTGGTGTTTTACAATCAGGTTGGTAGTTTTATAACTGGCATGTATATCATGTGGTGTTTTCAGGATGGACGTCCTAATTCTATGTTAACAGTTGAGCCTCTAGGTAATTCTGAATCTGTGATATACAATAACAGTAGAACCTGAAAAAAGCAGTTATTACGTTTTTCTCAAATACCACACTTGCTATGATCTACTCCCCGAAAGCGCCAAGCTTGTTGTTCTAGATACAAAACTGAGCGTAAGTGATTCGATGCACATGTCAACCTAGTTTCTTAAATATTCAGATCAAAAAAGCGTTTTATGCACTCATATATAACAATGTTCGAGCTGCTATACTATGGGATTCATCCAAACAGAGTTATTCAGGGATTCTAACGATAACTGACTTTATCAAGGTTTTAGTCACTTTATATCCTCCCGATAGTGGGAAAATGGATGAATTTGAAGAAAGTTCCATTTCCAGTTGGAGAGGTGAGTCGGTCTATTATTTTGTTCTATCACATTTTGGGAACCTATTCGACTTACATGGAATGATAATTGTATTCTATAATCATATTTAGCTGGAAACCTCTCTATTTCATAGTATTTTAGAATTATGTACTGATTTATATAACAAAAGTGTGACCGTTTTAGAAAAACAATTTTTTCACTTTATTGCTCAAAGTACTGCACACGTTTAGAATCATATTTAGCTAGGTTAGTCTATCGTGCTTTTAAGGTAGTACAAGGGCTTTTGTAAATCTAAGCTATCTACATGGTCCTGAGATGATGTTTATATACGTATATATCTTCAAAAAGCAGGTGACTTTCATGTGATTCGTCTAATAGAGACAGAAGGCTAGTAGCCTGTGCTAATCCTTTTTTGAATGTCTAATTTTCTCTTAAACGAGTCAACTGAAGATTTGAACTTTTATTTAGTATGTGAAACGATCCATCTGATTCTTAATTTTCCCGATAAGTTCAAGTTTATAAATTTTGTAATCATTTGAGATAGATATTAGCGGATTTAAGTCCCCAAAATCACCTCAGAAAATATATCAATATTAATATAATTACTCCACAAAAAAATATTGTTTGTTATATTTTCCAAAAACTAGCTGTTTATCGATGATATCTTATTACATGTGTCTATCACGGTGTGAAAAAGCTCGTCAAATTTTTCATGTAATTCTAAAAGAGGTTGAAGTACTTTGAACTCTTTCTCCTTCTTTTTTGTAAAATACTGATTGCTACTAATATTGTATTTGCCTTACATTTTATGAATCCCTGGTTTTTTATCGTGAATGTCATTGCGTTTATGCTTAGATACTTGTATTACCTCACTTTCACCCAAAAACAGGAGTAATGCTCATTTGCTCGACAGACTAATCGGGTTGTGATTTGCGTTAGAATTTCAAATTATGGCTTTGAACACTTTGAATTTGACCACAATTCCGTACTCCAAATATATGTTGACTAAATTACCGAATCGTGACAACTGAAACATACATGGTAGTTTAAACTAAATATTGTGAGACTCTGTTCCTCTGGAAAACTTGTTTTTAAGCAGTTACTTGATACACATTGGTTTGAAATTTCTAATGAACCCAAAGCACCAATATGTTATTCTTCTAACTCTAGTGATTTATCCCACCATTCGTTTCTGGTACAATTTGTTTTGTATCAGTCCAATTTTTTTCAAAAAGTTTTTATGACAAAACAGTTTCTTAATAGCATTAAAGACCTAACCACATAAGTATTCATGCATATGGTTACACATTAATTATTCCCAACTAAATTTTTCAATTTAATTCAAGGACTAACTTTTAACACTCACTCATTACTTTGAGTTTTAACCCGAATTGGTCATCGTAACATTTGTTCTTAATCCTAGCCCGAACTTCTATACCTAAATTATAGTCATTCTGGGTTTTTTTCACAATAAGTTGTTTACGTCATTTTCTTTTTTTTCTGGTTAACAACAATAAACAAATGTTTACTTATTAATGTTTTTTTCTGCAAAGAAAAGAAAAAACCAATATTGTAAACATGTGCTTGACAACAAAAAGCAAGATAAACGTTTAGTTTACAATTATTTCACTCAAAGGTATATTAGTACCGTCCTTAGTTCAGATTTATTATGTAGAGTCATACTCAAAGTAAAATGTTACGTTGAATAACGAAAGATATTATCATGTAAAGATGTATTTAGTAGAAAAAAGAATTGTTCATATGATTTCATTTACTTTTCAATATCAGTAGGTAAGTAGTCAACTTCATGAGATTAGCCTAAATAAAACTGATTTCATTTTTATTCCATCTTAACAGCCAATAATTCTATTGATATTTCAATAATCAAAACATTTTACCAGGATAAAAGTAGTTTATCATGTTACCATTGATAGATCTAACGTATAATCGTAAGTAATTAGAAATATTTAATGAGATATATAACCTTGAAAGCCTTGATGCGTTCAAAAAAATGGAAAATCATGAAATAACAGGCTTTTATGTAATATTACTCTTGTAATCATGATTCATATAGAATACATATATACAGGGGATACTTAATAAGACGAGCGAATTGGAGTTGATCTGACCAGCTGATATGTGACGATCATTGGTTTTAGATCGAGCTGCTATCGTTTTTTCTCTAGAGCCTAATACTCTTGTATGACAAGAGGTGTCTAGCATCTTCTAATAATAATAACCTTCTACTTTTGATGATTTGTCTCCTATCAGTAAGATCTGTAGTGAAAAACAATGGATACAAACATCTATTTTACACATGAACAAGATTACTGGAATGTAAAACAACCGTGAAAAGTATAGTGACTGAACTGTTAAGGTCACCTCTGAATAGCAGATTATTATTTAGATTTTACTCTGGCTCAAAAACAACTAGTCTGTCCTTATTTAGTCATGAGGTGAAGTACTGTCAGTGTATCGTGTTTAACAATTCGTTAGATTAGTCTTAGTTGACCGTTCCATTTTCAGCATAAAATATTATTGTTGTCTACTTTAAAACGTTCACTACATGTTTGATATATCGTCGTACATCTATCATTTTTACACATAAAAACCTTCGTTTTTGTCGTGTTTTTGTTTACAGAAAAGCAGCATACTTATTAATAGCTTATTTATAGAAGCGTTATCAGAGTGGATTGCGGTTTGTACAGTGTTCCTCACTAAAATGTACCAATGTATAGTTCAAACTAATACTAGAAAAAAACTATATTGATGGCTTTCGCTTATTGCTAACCTAATCCTGCTAGGGTCGTGGGTACTCACTATTGAGGAGTTTATTACTAGAATGAAATATTTGTCATGTACCTCCAGGTTTTCAGTAGTTATCAAATGAAAGTTAGTGATCCAGAATACAAATTAAAGAACATGGGTACTCTAACTTGACATCACAAACCATTCTGCTTAGTGTTAGATGGTCCGATACAAGGTTCGAGTTTCATATTATTTAATAGTCCCTTTAAGAGTCACAGGTATACGTCAGTATTGACGTGTCTCAACTGGTTAGGTTATATCTATGAATTACTGTTGTTCTCATCCAATTATATCTAGGAAAGTACCATAGTGTGTTGTCATTTGGATCGGTAGCAACACCACTAACTGATCTTAATCTCTAAATGACTGGAATTAAGTGTCCAAGAGTGAAACCTAATGTTATGAGTTCGATCACCAGTGGGGTCATGGATGCGTGCAAATGAGGAATCTCATACTAGTATGAATCGCACATTCAGTCTTTTCGTTTGTGATTTAACTCTTGCGATAATTCTACAATCTCTGATAATAAATGTATAATTTAAATCATAAAGATTACAAACAATGAGATTTTAGTTTGACCAAATTTAATTTAAGATACAAAAACATATTTATTTATTTGTTTGAACAAATAAATATTGGTACAAAGGGGCACCAAATACATACGCGCTACTCAAGTCACTTGATTTGTATGGGCTGCGATACTGAATGGGTGCCCAGATCAATGCAGGTGGTATTTTAGGGAGCAACACCCAGAACCTTCAACCTGATCCACAAGGAAGTGGAGCAATTTAAGGAAATGCAGTCCCATGATAGCTGGTGATCTGTTATATCCGAGCGAAGATTAAATCATGAGTAACTTCTGAGACATATTAATGGACTATTATTATCTATATATTCTTATGGTATAACTATTCAATAATTAGATTACATATATTTTTATTCCTCTTATTGTAAGCTTCATTTTCATTTATAATTTATTATTGTACGATTTACTGTTCTTAAGCTATGTTCACTTTATTGACTACGGCCTCCTACGTTCACAGACACTTTTTGGCTTTATTGTGTATGAATGTTATTTCCTATTTTATGGTGCGTTGCTGTCTGTTTGGTTGATAATATAAACCCAGTATGTCTGAAATAAATGATTCGATTCGATTCGCATATTGGAAGCTGGTATTGGTGTTCTGGACTCAAGTGGACGGGTTAGGCGGACATAGGATCAATAAGGATGCTAGGCTGCCCATACCGGTCGAACGTCATTGGTTTGGCACAGTGCGAAGATTGTATAAGTCGTATTTTGATTGATGGGTAAATCACGTGATAAAAAGCCGAACATAAAGTCGCAACATGATCAACGATTGGTTCATACACCTGTTCCTTCAGGTGATAACAACTGGGTAATAATTTGCAAATCCATATATAAAACAGCTTAGTATTCAAATATGATATATGCCCAAAATTATTACATCTGAATCAAACTATTTACGATATACCTCTTGTAATTTGTGCTAACAGATAAAAACATACAAATAAAAACAACGGACACAGATAAACATGTGGATAGACAAATAGATAGACAAAGCGATTGCGTGACTTACTGACTGACTGACTATCCGGCTGATTGAATGATGAGTAGATAAACAGACAGACACGTGAAAAAACTATAAGAGGACCTGGTACATTCACTTAGTATCGTTTACTTGAATCTTCCCATTGATGTTTAGGAATACATAAGCAGAATTATATAAGCAAGTGGCTGTCAAGATTCAGTAGCTAAGTGCATAACGTTATGGTCTTTAAGGCGAATGGTACTAGGTTCGAGTCTCGGAGCTAACAGCAACGCTGAGATACAGGTACATTCAACTGACAAGTCCCAAATAAGACGAAACGCGCATCCGGAAGCACTGGATGACCGTCTCGTCCTAGTGTGGCACTCCTCGACAGTGCGCATTCACAACCCCACACAAGATTCGGACCCAGAACCTGTGGTCTCGCGCGCGAAAGCCTAACCTCTAGACCAGTGAGCTGACATCCAACGGTGTTATTATCTAATTTCAACCAAGTCATAAAATTGCGCGACCATCTTCCATTGTTTAATGTAGATACCTGTCTCTATCTGACATGGATTAGCTCCGCTAGTCACGAATTTTCACCAGAACTCCAACAATTCCATCACGCAGCTTTTATAGACAGATCCACTGTGATGATATTGC